GTACAAGTCCAAGCCAGAGCTACCCTGGAAGGAAGTACTTGAGACAAGTGCTGGGAGTAAAATGACACACTGGAATAAAAAAAATAATCCACAAGCTCATACCTCAGGTACCAGCCCTCCAGGGATACTGAGTATCCAACTAATTGCCTTTCAGTAAGATCTCCTCCCTCTGCATGCTACACTGTTTTCTCAAAATATACACGTCTATTTTAGACAATCTTAACAAAATGAGCATGGTGTAGAAGTAAAGAAGGGGAAAAAACACTCCATACAGTCTACACCTCAGTAAGTTCACTCACAGAATGACCTCAGGCAGGCTAGCAGATACTATAACCACACACAAAACCATCCCCAATTCTAAGACAATGACATACACACACGCTTCTGACAAGTCATGTCAAGATGCTGCTGATCTGAAAACCGATCAGATGCCCAAAACTGAACCAGACAGGAACTCTGTTAGGAGCCTATAATAAACTAACTGTGGGATGCAACAGCAGCAGTTTGCAAGTCAACAGGTTTGGAAAAGGTATTTTCTTGGTCTCCCTTCAGGCTTCCCAGCTAATGTCCATCTCTTCCCTCATGACACTAAACACAAACTTGTCTGCATGATTAAACGAGCTTCTTTTACCCCTGTTCTCCAGGACTATCAGCCCACATGTAAACTGTTAGCCAAGGAATGCAACTGCTTACTGGTGCCAGCAGAAACCCCCACCCAGGACTAGTTCAGCTCCAGTGGGGGAAGGAGGGCTACCCTCTATGCTCAGGCATAAGCAGATTCCATTCAGCTTGGCATTTGCAACAGCACATAAGTAGATGGCCAAAAACAAAGAAAAATAATTCCCCAACACAGGCAGCAAGAGATTGCAGAAAGCCACCACTACACTTAAAAGACTTGTAAAACAGTGGTGGAGAAAGCACTGGACAACAAAGAGGAGAAGGGGGACCTTGTTTGACAATACAATGAATTGGGCTGAACTCTAGTGAAGTTAAGAGACTATGGGCTAAGAAATCACCTGTAATGTAACAGGCAGAGTGACATATCTGGGATTCTTTCCTCCTGCCCAGCATCCCTCTGAAACGTAAGTCAGAATCTGACTTAATTTTTATCAGATCTTCGCCTCAGCATATCACTGTTGGCTCAGCTTGACTTTCTGAGTTATCTGGGAATTTAAAGCATCCACAAGCAAAGTCTAAAGAGAGGGTGTCAGCTTAAATCTGGAACATGGAAATGCTGCACCAGGGACTGGCCTGTTTAGACTGTTTAGCCTGTTATTTCTGCTGGCGGGAGAAGCAAATTAGAGATTTTTAAATCTGCACACTCGCTTCCAATAAAATAATGATGATGATGCTTTTCTAACAATTAATGTCGCTGTTCCTACTTGGCAAACTGCTTCTAGATGCAGAATGGGCATTTCACTTCTTGCAGAGCAAAACATGCACAGATTTGATTAAGCGACAGAACAGGAAACCAGACCAACTCAAACAGCAAGCATGAATTGAGACCAAATCTCCTGGAGAACACCTGCAGCCTCTCAGACCACAAAATCCATTTGTTGCCCTCCTATAACGACACCATCCAGGTTGGTTGCATTTTGGTTATTTAGGGTTTTTTTGGGGGTGAGTTGGGGTTTTTTGTGTGCATGCAAGAATGCTAGTGCGGCCAAAAAGAGAAGAAAGTAATCTCTCACGTTTACAACAGAGCCAGACACTAGTGCAGTGCAGAATACCAAGGAACTTGTGTGTTTAGCTCTTTGGTATGCTGTTGTGCAAAGCTCTTAACTAGCTCACATTAGGCTTTCAAGCAACTTTGAGGATCGATAACAAGTCGGTCCAGTAGACAATACCCAAAGGGCTGAGTGAGCTCCAAGAAACACACAATGCAAACTTCAACACTGCACAGGTTGATGAAAATTAAGAATCTGAGCAAAGAGCAGCATAACATGTATAACATTAAACAGCGGGGTAAAACTAAGACTGCTCTGCACAGGACCGCCACAAACATTAACCCTTTATCAAGGAAGGAAACAAACCCCCATCCTCACAGTTAGACTGCCTACAGTTTACTGAAGTCACAGTCTGAAGAAGTTAATGGATAAAATCACTCTATTTTGTTCATTCAGCTGAGAGACCTTTCTATACTTGCCAGCATTATTTTCCATGCACTGGCAAGCACTGTTGGAAGGTGTGCTGGTGCTGTCAGAATCCAGGAGAAAGCTTCAATTACAACTGCCAGCAAAGTCAACACCAGCAAGCCCCTCCAGAGCCATACCAATAAGATTTCCAGCCCTAATCTAGGCAAGGCCTGAGATAATGAGAGACTCAGGGTGACACATGAGCCCAATCCAAAGTCATCTGAGGCCAGAAGGGGACTTGTAATGGCAGTCCACCAGCTTCAAAGCCACATTACTCTCACAAAAATCTGCATGTATGTTGAAATAGGGAGGTTAACACTTTATCCCTCTGAATAGATCCACTATGTCCAATGTCTTTCACATTTCTCATAACATAGCATGACCTGCCCCTAACACAGAGGTTGCTGAGGGCAAGATCCAGCTCCTCATATTGTAAATCATTACAGAAATGGCCAATTTTGCAGTCAGCTCAACCAACAGCCATGACCAAATTGCTCAATGGCTACGGAAGGACTGACCAACATACATGAGACACAGGCAAATCACCTCAGTTTGAGTATTTTTCTGTTTAAATATCTGTTTTTCCTAACACTTAAGCTGTATCTCAGATTTAAGATTCCTACAGAACTTGAAAGATGACTGGAGAACTAGCTCATTCGAGCACTGGCTCTCTCTGCAACTGCCCCTCTAGGGATTGTCACATGGACTAGAGAAACATTTCCATCTCACAAGCATGCTGCTGTCTCACTTTTCGCACTGTACATTATCAGACAAGCAAAGCAAGGCCAAAGTGCTTAATATCATATCGTTTTTTTTCCTTTAAACAAACTTCTGAAAACATCTAATCAATTTCAAGGACTTCACAAGAATGTTGCTGGCATCAGTGTAGAAAAAAAAATCCACTTACACTGGCAGCATTTTTTTTTAATGTAGCAAGTGTGACTGTGAAATAGAGAGAGGATCACCCACAGTGACACAGTCATTACCTTGTCCTTCTCACAACTTCCAGGCTTCAGTCATGCTGACAAGGTTCAACAGAGAAAATGAGCAAAACTTGAACTTTGCCAAACATATGACTGCAGCATAAAGCCTTGTTCCACACAGAAAGCTATGCTGCCATGACAAGGAAAGCCCTGAATACGGTAGTACTGTGGTTCCACCCTGCATTTGGTGTAGTCCTTTGCTCAAACAAAAGCTCACCACTACTGAAACTTCTCAGATACATTCAGCTGCAAAACTGAAATCCAGTTCAGAATCCCACACAGGATCCCACACTTGCACTTCCAATACCCCTGCAAGATCTTATTTGAGAACTACTGAACTAAACAGTTGATTTGCGTCATCAGGTATCAAGTGACAATACTTCGGTATGTCTTCAACAGCACCTAGGCAGCATCAACAGGAGCACACAACAGAGATGCAACTGCTCAAAAGATGCAGAGAAATGGCCTGCACTACTCAGCAGCAAAATGGACTCCAACAGATTTGCCTGAGATGCTTGCACAAGCATTGGGATGGAGATCACTTCTCTGCCCTACCAACAGTGGCTCAGCACATGCTTCTTTGCTAAACATTGACTTACGAAGTAATCTGCAAGAGACAGGGAAACCTACTGGTCAGAACAACCCTCACATCTGGGAAACCTCTGCTCTACCTCATCACAGGATCCTCATACACCTTTGAGCTTGTCACCCTGCCTCAGCTTACCACTCCTTTCTCAACAGGCTTACAAGGGGATGGAGAAGGAAGCAGCTTTTCCCTTCCTCACAGATATCTGAAGACATGCATTGAACACACATTCATCATAGCCCAGACAAGTCCATATGAACACTCTGACAAGTAACTACGTTCTATTTACTCAGACTGAACACCCTTCTGAGGCATTTTCGCTGTACCTGTTCAATGATGAATCCACCTCTCCATACAGGCACATACTCCCGAGTCCTCATCTCACTTGCATTCAAAATTTTGACAGAAATAAAAGAAGCAAAGCACGACACGTGCACAAAAGAGCCAAATACAAGAGCTGAATCCACCCAAATCACAAGATGGTTTTAAAAATACAGCAGCCTCCAGGCGTTACCAAAATCCCCCACTGCCGAATGAGCGCAAGGCGGCTGCACTCCGCCTCCCTTCCCTAATCAAGGGTTTGTGCTAGCGGAGACCCTCGCCGGAGGCCTCTGCCCTGTGCGCCGAGCACCGCGCAGGGCTGGCCCCGCAGTGCTATTGCTGCCCCCGCTCGGCCGCTGCTCGGCGGCCCCAAGCCCTACCCGCCGAGAGGCCCGTTCCGCTGCTGACCCGGAGGCAACCAGGGCAGGCCGCCCCCAGGGGACGGGAGGCCGAGGGGAGCCACCACGACAGCCGTTAGGCCCCGGCAGACCCGCACCCCCCAGGCTCCTGTCGCGGCCGTTACCCCTCCCATCCAACCAGCCACACTGCCGGACGACTCCGAGCTGCGTTCCCGGCCGGTGCCGCGGGCGGGACGGCGCCGGCGGCGCCCGCCGCACCCCGCCCCCCTCAGGACCGCGCTGCTCGCAGTCACCCAGCGGCGGCAGTGGCACCACACAAAGCCCCTGAGCAGCGCTTCTCCCCCCGCCCCGCGACATAGTGGGGTGGTCCCCCCCGCCCGGCGCGATGCCGGCGCAGGAGTTACCTGCCGGTCGCGGCGCGGGGAGGCGGCGGGGCGGGGGCCGGACGGCGCTCAGTGCCGGCGGCGGCGCCCGCTGCGCTGCATGGCTGCGCCCGCCCCGCTGCCACGGGAAGAATGGGAGCCAGCGCGCCTGCGCGGCACCGCCCTGCGCCTCTAGCAGCCTCCTGGGCCTGCAGCACGCATGCGCCCACCGGCCGCCCCCTCCCAGAAAAGACCATAGAGAGTGGGGCGAAGGCTAGAGAGGACGCGCCTCCCGCGGGTCTCTATGGTAGGTGGTGGAAGCCCCCACAGCTCGGCGGCGGTGAGGTCAGCGGGCGCACTGCGCATGCGCTGCGGCGATATCTTCGCTGCACGCCCTCCGCGGCCGTTACGGGCGGGCTCGGTTGCCAAGGCGACACTGGTGGCTGCTCGGCGGCAGTTGTTGAGCTGACGGGGCCGGCGGCGGTTCGCTGCGGGAAGGGAGATGAACGCTTTTCCAGGGACAGAGGGCAAGGAGAGGCTCGAACCCCAGTCCTGCCGGATTAACCTCCGCAGAAGGCTCCAGGAAGCACAGCACTCGTGGGCAGTGTGTGTGAGAAAATTGAATGCTGTGAGAGCAATGCCTGAGGCTGGGGCAAGGAGACCTTTGGGGCCAAGTGTGCCGTGTAGAAAGAAGCCTGGAGCTGCATGGCAGTGCGCAGTCCCTGCTTTTTACGATTTCCTATTGAGGGAAACTGTTTCGTGCAGACTTGGTTAAAAAGCAGCATTTAAAAGCATCTTTCTCCTACAGGGAATAGTTGTAGCGCTCCTAACTCTATGACTGATGTGAAAATAGGAAGCAAAATCCATGTACACAGGCTATTTACTAAGGCCTGTTTGACCATCTTCTTCCCTCTGCTTGTGACTGCTTCTTGTGTTGGTTGTAGGGAACCTTCATTTCACCTCAGACACCCCCAGCCACATCCATCCTCTGTGCTGCAGGAAGCCATTGACCTTCATAAGGTGGTGTACCATTGCAGTTTGCAACAAGTATATAGCCTAAGCCATCAAAACTGTTCATATGCAAGAACTGAATGTGGAAGAAATAGCTCCTTTTCAGTCACCTTCTCGAAATAATATTGCCCTTCTTCATGGCTCATGGTTTTGGCATTGGAATGGCTTTGGCAAGCCTTCTCCAAAGAATACTGAATTTGCTGATTTCTTCTTTTCCACCATGAGGTTTCAGAGCAATACCTAATTGCTCCTTTGCATGAAGGAATCCACATAAGTTGAACCTAGAATGTGGAACAGGCTGCACAGATGTTAAGAGAAAGCTGGGGATATGGGTGCTTAAAAGGATGGCAGACCTGTGTAAATTGAAAGGAGGCAATTACAAAACAGCTTTAGAAATTATCATGGTTCTTGCCCCAGAGGCCTCTTGAGAGCCCTAAGTGGCTAAGTACTGCCCATGGCAGAGACACAACAGCTCAGCTTCACCGGATCTGGTTTTCCCATCCCCACGCTATAATCCCTGTGAGATAAAAGGAGGGACAGCCCCTGTGCGGAGTGCTCTCCCTCCCAGGCTGTGCAGTTCTGCAACCAGGAGTCCAGTCATTCACCCTTCTCTTGTTTTGCAGTCTCCCAGCAGCAGCTGATGACTAGGTAGGATCATCAGTGCATTAATAAAGAACCAGTTATCCCACTTCAGCTGAATCCATCAGGACTACAGGAACAGTTTGCTCAGTCTAGTTCTCTCTGTGCTACCTAAAATACCATCATATTCCATTTTGAGAAAAAAAATGAGATAAAAATGGAATAGTTGAATTAGGAGAAGCAGTATTATTTAGCTTTAGTACGAAGACAGTAACTGTGCATTACACATTTGTTGTGAATTCATTCTTTTCAGTGTTATAAAAAAGAGGCCCTTGGAAACCTCTCAATTCTGCCTTACGATATAATTGTGGGTTTTTTACACAGATTCTTACTTCTGGTGATTTGAGGATCACTGGGAGTCTAAAGCTTCATATAGAAATACTGAGAGATGCAATGGTCTTGGGTTTTAAGTACTTAAAAGTAGGCAGTGAAGGCACTCTTCTGATCCTTGCCCTGTTAAATGCTAGTGCATATAGTATTGCTCTGTATCACCCACTATATTGCACACTTACTTCATCCTGCTTTCTTTAACAGAACACTGCCTTTTCATGGATATTTTTAAGAGTCTCACAACATCTTGGAGGAGGCTCTTGGTAATACTGTGCAGTCCATCAGCTTTCACAGGGACATCAATCTGCATTAATTCTAACACCATCTACGGCAGAGCTCTGCATACATTGCCTGTGAGTTCTCAGTGGAAGCCCACCACTGAAGGCAGGTCAAGGTACCCCAAGGGCAACTAGATCAAAGTTGCCATATGGAATGCAGTCTGCATGGGTATTCCAGCTTCTCTGAAGTCAGTTAGGTAGTAACTGTGCTACTTGTAACCAGTCTTAGGGTGCAGAAAGCACTCTATACATGAAGAAAAGAGCAGTAACTGCTAGAGAAGCTGCTACCGTCACACACGGCTGCTGGACAAGGACTTCATCTCCAGTGGTACAACAGCAAACATTTTGGCAATACTCTTATAAATAACGTACCTAAATAAAGGTGCTTCTTACTGTGCTCTCACTTCTGAAAGATCTCCATTTACTTACCTGCCTCGCATGTCAATCTCCAACACAGACAGACTAGTGCAGCAGAGAGGTAGGAACATCTGTCTCCTGAGAGGATACTGTTCCTGGTGAAGCAGCACGTATCTCTCTAATCAGACCACCTGCAAAGCACACTGTTCTCTTCTTGTTGAAAAGGTCTGGAGGCATGTACCAATACACGTGCAAAACAAAGCACAGTCCATTTGCAAGAAGAAACAGGAGATCAGCTTACAGATACCAGTGAGGGCACAGAAAGCTCCAAGAAAGGGCAAAGTAAAGCCAGAAAGCTTTTTTCCTAAATAAAGGGATGCATGGATATTCTAGCTTTCACTTAGCAACCCTGGTCTTTCAGAAAAACAGATGAATAAAACAAAACTACTGGGAAGCAGAAGGATGGACTGGGAGGAAGAGAGGCTCTCTTTCAGCAGAAATACCGACTCTACCTGAGTGACCTGCTCTTCTCCCTTCCTCAGGGCCCTTTTGCACAACGTCTGCTTGAGAATCTGAGGGCCAAATGCTAGAAGGAGAAATGCATTCATATATGAATGACAGGATGATGATGTAGCGGTCCATGACAGCAGGGGATAGCAGCATCATAGCCTGACTGTCCCTGAATTACTTCCTTAGAGTTAGTTGAGCACACCACTATGCAGATTTAGAAAGGTGTGTTTCCTTTATGACTACTTATGTGGCTAAGGGGGGAGAATAACTTTGCTCAGCTCTATGTCACTCCCTTTGGCACCTCCTGGCACTTAGATCTCCTGCACACATCACCTGAACAGACTTGTGCAGTGCTAAGGAGAAGGCTGGACTGCTGCTGGCACAAAGACAAACAGCATGGGCTGTTCACAGCATGGGTGAAGCCCAAGTACCCAGCTTCTGAGAGCCATTGATCTCGCTCTGGCATGGACTCACCTCCTCTACCCCTTACTAACCCTACCTGTGAAACAGGGCACAATCTCTTTGTCCATCCTGTGTGAGAACAAACACTTGAAACAGGGAAAGCACTAGCTACTTCAGCTCAACATTGAACTTGATAATTCTTCGTTCTTTCCTTTGCACATGACAGTTGTCACAGCCCCAGATTCAAGCTCTCAACTAGAGACAATATGCTCCTGCACTGCTATCTTTAATTGGCACTTTCCTGCCAAGCCTCAGCATTTTGCAGTGGGCTTTTTCCACATGAGAGCTAGGCAAACAAAGCAGCCTGCTGACCCACTTAGCTCTCACGTGAAGGCACATGAAGCTTCGCTTCAGTCACCAAACAGAAAACAAAATGCAAGAGCAGAAGGTTTTGATTGAAGGGCAGTGAGCAAATGGCTTCAAGGCCCAGCCTGTGCACATGGGCATGTCTGCATGTGTTCACTCCTTGCAGAAATTTGGCCACCAAGGGAGAAACACCACATACAAAGCAGGTAGTCCTTATGCAGTGTGAACCGGGTTTGATTCAAGATTTCCCATTGTCACCAAGGTCCTGTGAGCCATGCAACACCCCCATGAGCCTCCTCCTCTGACCTGGAGTGACTGCCTCCAGGGAGTTCACTCTACCCAGACAAAACGTCAAGGAAGATACCAATTAGTGTTAATTGTGGTGTACTTTGTTCATGACCAGAGTCTGAGCTGAAACCCCCCCAAAACCAAACACAGGCTGCTGGCAACAACTTTCCACCCTGCCTGAGCCAAGTCTAGATCTCTAATCTTAACAAGGCACAGACACTAGGTCTTGTACTGACATCAGAGACCACATTTTCCCTGCCTGCCCTCAGGCCCCTGTGAAACACATTTGCAGATCAAACTAACAGGAGTCCTATTTTTGTCTTGCACTTAAGTTTACATTAAGCAACATTTCAGCCCCATTTCCTCTTCCCTCATAATGCCCCATTTACACCCTTTCAAATGGATTTACCTCTTCTTGTGTTTGTTCTCTATAGTCACCTGAGGGTACTATTTTATCATTTTTCTACCACCCAAACACTTAAAATTATGTTCATATCTTTTTTTATGTTTGCACACCACACATGCACATACCTTAGCAGCATGAATTCTTTTAATCTTTCAAAAACATTTGCTTTTTATTCTCACCCAAATATTAAGCCAACCGGAAAGTGACACATCAAGGTTAGGAACGCAGTCTGCTCCTGACAAGGAGAAAATGCTGAGCTTCGCAAGGGTGTCTAAGTGGATTAAGATGCTTTTAAAGATTAGGTCACCCTTCACCTCAAATGCAGATATCTACGGAAATTAATGGAAGCTCTTACAAAATGCACTGAAGAGATGACATTGTATGGCAAGACAGCAAACATACACCGCAGCCCACTCAAACCCAACTGTCCAAATCACCAGCTCCAAATGGTTCTTAACGACCAACTAATAGAACCTGCACTATGTGTTAACACAGCAGGATTTCATCTTGTAAAATTTGAACTGATGGGGAAAAAAGGACTGAGCTAATAGTTCTCAGGAGAAAATCTTGGGCTACGATTCATCTGATGTGGCTGTACTGACAATATGCCACAGAAAGGTTTGCCACAGGAGAATCCATACTGCCTCTGAAAGTCATGCTTTACACTTGGAATAGCTCCTGCCAGCCCAGTCAGAAAGCTCTGGCAGTCCCAGCAGCTCCAGCCCTGGGGCTTGGTTTTCAGGATACAATTCAATAGAACACACTTTAAACATTGCCCAGCTAATAAATCACTTTGTATGGGATACCTGAGGGAAAAGCCATATGGATTTCTCTTACATTTCCTC